ACACACACACACACATTATATGCAAATGCCCTTAGTCTAATCTGGTCTACCTTGACTTCCTCGGCTAGAGCTGCTTCCTCCTTCTTCCTCTCAGCCCAGTCCAGGAACTTCTCTCTGAACAGGGCCGTCTCATTGTGCTCCGACAGTCGGCCAAACAGAGTCCAGCTCGGACGACCCTCCCCCTGCCTGAAAAATGAGTAAATCATTTAAAAATGTCTCCCTTTGTGCAGCTGTACTGGCAAGATAAAACCACTAGGGGCTACTATAACACAACCAGAATCTAACAAACTGTGCTGCCAATTCAGGCCCACTTTATGGCTCATAACAGTGCATTGATTAAGTGAAAAATCAGGCATCCAAAACACTTAAAATATAAAAACCCATTAAGTGCACCACAGAGTACTTATACAATTGTGTTAACTGCTAAAAAAGGTGGCAGGATTAACGTGATACTTACTGAGGCACATCCTCATTCGTGCAGGAAGAATCTAAAGGGTTGACTCTGCAGTTGCTGTAGTCGTAACTGCCGCTGTAGAGCTGTTTGCCCAGTTTCACAGCAACCTTTCTGTCACTCAAGGGCACATCCTTTCCATGCCAGACATACACTTCGCTGCCAAAATCAAACACTAAGACCTGGTATTGGCAGCAGGGGGAAGGAGGAGAGAAAGTGTGTGATGTTATTGCAGTTACATGCAAAACAACAGAAACAATGTCTGTCTGGACTATTATGGATGCTTTATGAACATCTATAACTTTTATATCACACTTTATATGCAGTGTCTTCGACTTTTCCAGATGTAAAATGGATCAAATTTGTTTTCCACACTTCAGCATATGAGGTCAACTCTAGCAGTGGTGTTACCTCTTTAGAGTTGAGCAAGGAGACACTTGGGATGGAGGCCCAGGCATCTTCATGAGGCACCAGTTTGTCTCCCTGAAGTCTGTACACACCATTAGAGTCTAACACACCACTCTCATACAGCTCATCCTCCTCTGGCTCTCCTGCCCCTATAATACAAAAACACACACACACAAAGCACAAAGAGCAGGGTGAGCATATGTGTAGGTGGTTAGACAGACAATCCTTCAAATGCTGAGGTCCAACAGCTTCAGTTAAAAAGCATATATACGTATAGTGACAGAATATATAATGAGTGTATGAACCTCTGTATTGGGTCTGTCCTCCCAGCAGGCTCCAGAACTCTCTGGCCCATCTGCTGTCAGTGTTGATGCCCTCCTCCAGCACTGTCACCTGGGGGGCCTTACACCCAAGGTCCCTCTTGGCCTGAACAAACGACGCCATCTCTGACGCCTGGTCACACACAAAGCACATTGTATATATCACAACTGTATTTGAGTGGAAACTTCATCACCTGTCTAAAGATCCAAAACTGGTTCTGAAGCGTTCTTGAAGGTTTTCATTATGTGGGAGAGGGTCTCTACCTTGGCTTTCTCAATAACGTTGGCAAACTCGCCGCTCCACATGAAGCAGTGTTTTGGCGATATGAGAAGGAAGCAGTCGCCGCTGTTTAGAGAGCGGGCTGTGGGCTCCATCAAGCGCACTTGCACATGCCTCCGACCTACAGATAAAGCAAATCATAGTCTTAATATGAAACATAAATCACTGATATAAATCTGTAATTAAATATTCTTCATGGTACATTAAATTAACAATCTTAAGAAATGACACAAGAAACACACTTGAGAAATTCGCAGTAGTTCGCAGCAGTTTCAAACTGTTGTTACGGGTGACAGATCACCATAAATCAGACCTGCATTTGTATTCGAAACAGACACACGGTGCAATCTCTTTTGTTTCTGACCTTTAATGCGAATGAGCATGAGCTTGTTGAAAGGCAGCGCACTGTTGTTGGTGACAACATCGGTGGACTTCACATTGCGCAGGTTGACCTTGCGGAAGTTCTCCTTGCTGGCAAGACCCGCCAAGGCCACATCAGCCAGGTTTGTTCTGGAGTGTTTCGCCACTTTGAGGGAGAGAAACCAAGACAATTAGACACAGTTAAAGTGTTTTTAATCAGTGCTATTCTTGATCTATACTGCCATCTCGCTAATTATAACAAACAAAGACCACAGATTTATAATATAGATCATAAGATACAGAACAGGTTTTCCAATTTCTTCTTTCATGTGAGCCATACTAGACATCTTAAACATAGCTGCGGTGTTCACTTCCTCTTGTGAAACCAGTTAACCTGTGTCACTGAGGTCTGACTAGTCTGTGAAGTGTCTCTATAAAAGAGGAACTGAATGTAGGAAATACGCAAGCTGCAGATGAAAACTACACAACAGTGTAAGAATATCAGGTAGCTAACTGAGTAAGTTGATTGTACCTTCAGAACAGATTCAGTCCTTGAGTACAGAATACGTTTTGCTTTCATGCTATGTGTTTACTGTGCATACACTTAAGTAAGGTTACTGTTGTCCTTTTGTAGTAATCTGATTGATTAATCATCATGTAAACAAGAAACTTTGTCTCTATAATCAGGGTAGGGCATTAGAGTAACCTACAGAAAGCTGATTTTCTGGGATCATAGGTTGTGTTTAGACCTGATATTGTATAACATGTGTCTTCAGTGACCCATTACAAGTGGACAGCACTAAGTACAGGTGTGAATGCAGCCAAGACGCATTGGAGATGCATTGAGATTCGATCATATTGTCTGTTTCAACTTAATTCACCACTTAACTAGTAACCGCAATATCCTCAGACTCCCTTAAAAACCAATTTTGAGAGTGGCTGAGAGGAGAAACTTTATCAAGTTTGTGAAATGCCGTCTATGACAAATTCTTCATTATTTGGACCTTTATTTATATTTGGCAAATTTTAGATATTAAGTTATTCTTTTATTTGTGTAAAAAACATGGTGTCCGTTGTCCCAGCATGTTGGCTATAGAGACACTTGATGGAGCAAACAGGACACACAATTTTACTCTCTCTGGCATTAAACATTTTCTTCGTCATCTGTGATGTGCAAGTGTGTGTCCTGCTCATATAGTTCAGTGATAGATCCAGAACTAAACAGGGGTGTACACATGTAACCAGGTTCCTAAGACTTCAGCTAGGGTTGACAGCAGGATGAAACTTGCATCCTTGCAAACAAAATAAGTCTCAATCTAGTCTATATTCTGTTGGTATTTTAAAAGTCCATGTGGATATTTGTATGTGCATGACACAATAA